ACTCCTTCAGTTCTTTCTCTGGAGACGAATAGCATTTTTCATCATGGGTCCTTTGGAATTGTCTTGGATTATTGTATTGTTGAGAGTAGCTAAGTCATTCACAGTTGATCTTCATACAATATTGCTGTTACTGTGTGCAGTGTTCTTCTGATTCTGCTCATTTCACTTTGCACCAGCTCGTCTAAGTCTTCCCAGGTTTTTCTGAAGTCTGCCTGCTCATCATTTCTTACAGCACAATAGTATTCCATCACAATCCTATACCACAACTTGTTCAGACATTCTCCAATTGAGGCGCGTCCTCTCAACTTCCAATTCTTTGCCACCATAAAAAATGTTGCTATAAATATTTTTGTACATATAGGTTCTTTTCCTTTTTCTTTGATCTCTTTGAGGTCGGGAACTAGAAGTGGTATTTCTGGGTCAAAAGGTATGCACAGTTTTATAGCACTTTGGGCCTAGTTCCAAATAGTTCTCCAGAATGGTCGAATCAGTTGACAACTTCATCAGCAGTGCATTAGTGTCCCAGTTTTTCCACATCCCCTCCAACATTCATCATTTCCTTTTTTTTTTTTATCATGTTAGCCAATCTGATCAGTGTGAGGTGGCACCTCAGAGTTGTTTTAATTTGTATTTCTCTAATCTAGTTATTTAGAGCATTTTTTCATGTGACTATAGACAGCTTTGATTTCTTCTTCTGTCAAAACATAAATTTTTTAGAAGTTCAGAGTGCAATTTAAGAGCCCCTGTTATAGAGCTTGGAAAGAATACAATCACGTTGCTCACCCTTCCTTTCCTCTCCCCTCTCTATTGCTAACAGCCTGCATAGGGACCCACTGAGATGGTTCAGCCCCTCCTACCTTCTTTGCTGCCTCTTATAGACCCAAAGTTTGTTCCTGCTGGGCTCCTTCCTTGACACATTTGACAAATTAATTTTTTCTATATGAGAAGCCGATTTTTCTTGGTGTCCTTAGGTAGAACAGGTTGGGTTGAGGATCCTGACAGCTTTCAAAGACAACTAGGACATATTCTACTTCCCCCGTCAAGGCTGGGGTGTGAACTAAGTGACCAATCGATGTGTCTTCCAGGATCCTGTGATATGAGGAGACCCCAGAGACCATCTAGTCCAACCCTGTCATCTTACAAATTAAGGGAACTGAGGCCCAGGAAAGCTAAGTGACTTTGAATTTGAGTCCTTTGATTTCAGAGCTGGTGAATCATCTTTCCACTCTCCTGTATGGCCTCATCATGGGGCTAGTTTGTGTGGTGGAAAGAGTCCTGGATTTGGAGTCAGAGGATGATTGGTCTTCAAATCCCAAGCTCTGCCATTTACCACCAATTACCTGGATCTCCATTCAACTATAAAACTATAAAAAAGAAGACTAGACAAGATTTAAACCTATGATCTTAATCCTTGTCAAGGGTCCAGAGGAAGAAGGATGGAGGCTTTCTATCTGTCTCATCCACCACCACCATCTCCATTCACAAAAATAACACACCTAGAATCCCTTCATTCTAGCGACAAGGATTTTTCTTTTGTTGCTTAACCCAAGAAGTGACTTTAATGGTGAGATGATTTGGTCGGGCCCTAATAGTGGTCCTCAAATCGTGGCATATAACCAACTATGTCTAGGTAAAAAAAAATGACAAAACAAAACAAATACTTTTGTTGAATTGAATTGGCCTATCCTTTCCCAGAACCCTCACAGTTGGGGAGTTCTTACTAATATAGATTTTGACCAGAGATAAAAATACTACCCAGACAAGCTCAGCCTCTTCTTTATTTGATTTAGCATTTCAATTCAACAAGAATTTATTGAGTACCTATATTTGTTGAGGACCTGCTACGTGCAAAGCACTGTGCTGTAGAAGAGAAATACAAAGATGAATGAGACTAAGTCCTGACCTTAGACTGTTTGGAGAGAGGAGGTATTTTCAAAATAATTATATATAAAGTAAAGTATGCATAAAAGAAGTGTAAATAAAATGCTATGGTAATTCAGAACAGGAAGACATTACTTCCCAGTGGGAGTTCCAGAAGCTTTCTTCACGTGGAAGATGATGTTTAACTTAGGTCTAAATGAACATATGGCATTTAAACAGGTGGAGACTTGTGGGTTCATTCTAGGCCCAAGAAATGACCTGAACAAAGGTATAGAGATAGAAAAGTGTGAAACACATTGGATGAGCAGTAAATAACCCAGTTTAGGTTCAAGGTCATGTAGCAAAGTATCTTAAGACTCAGTTAAATAAGTATCAACTCACTCAGATAGTTGGGGGGAATGGTGTGGAGGGCTCTTCACTCACTTGCCAATGTTATAATAACTCTGAAATTATTTTTCAGGATGGTTCAAAACAAAGGACAGCATAAGATCCAGTTATACCAAAAATTAATAATCACAAAAGGAACCAAGAGAATAGAACAATAGCACATTTATAGAACATTTCATATTTACAAAATGATTTTCTCAAAATAGTATCAATATTATTATCATTCCCATTCTATAGATGAGGGAATTTAGGCTCAGTGGCTTGTCCAGAATAATATAATGAATAAATATTAGAGCTGGAAAGGGAAACCAGGTCTTCCGCCTCTAAGACCAGTACACATTCCATTCTATAACTATGTTTCAGGATGAGATGGAATAAACCATAAGCAAGTAGTAATACCATCACCTCCCTTTCTCATTGGCCTCCCATAATAATTAACACAGATAGTCACACACCTCTAACCTAAATCTACCTTGCTTGCATCACCTCTGCATTCTAGGGCATGCAAAAGCTCTGTAGCAATGTGATTTCCCCTGTACAAGTTCAAATCCTGTCAGTGGACTCTAGAGGTAAATACTTGGAGCCATAGAAATCATAACCAGGAAACAAATCATCTGCTCCCTCCACCTGTTCAGTGATAAACAGATTCTTTTTTGAAGACAGATCTATATTCTTCTATAGATCTACAACCTTCTGCTGCTTTGCCTATCTTAATCACTTTGCCTGGATGGTATGAACCCCTCCTTTGTGTGGATAAAGAGTTACCAGGTAACCCAACCCTTGCTTCACTTATGAAGCAAAACACTTATAATGGCAAATACCACGCTCTGACTCTTAAACTCTAGCCTGTGACAGTGGATGACTCAATCCATTACTTAAACACACACACACACACACACACACACACACACACACACACACACACACGCACTCCCCAAAACCAAACCAAAAACCCCCATGGCTTTCTTATTATAGGAAAGCATGCTTGGCCCCAAGTCTAAAAAAAGGAGAATTTGTTTCTTGTTTTGGATATATGTATACTGGACTAGGATTGTTGCAGAAGCATGTTCGTGGGAATGTGAACTAAGCATTCTGCTTTAAACAACATTGCTGAAAAGTTGAATTTCTGTGTTTCAAAATTTTATGTTGATAAAGTATCAGAGCTGTTTTTCTCTTAGGGAAAAATGTATGAGAACACCTTATACTTACAGCATATTATCTTACTGGTTCATCAAACAATTGTAGCTAGGTGGCAGACTCATCTTCCTGAGTTCAAATCCAGCCTTAGATATTTACTAGCTGTGTGACCTTGGGCAAGTCACTTAACCCTGCTTGCCTCAGTTTCCTCATCTGTAAAATGAGCTGAAGAAGGAAATGGTAAACCACTTCAGTGTCTTTGCTAAGTAAACCCTAAATAGGGTCACAAAGAGTCAGACGTGACTGAACAACAACAACAACAACGATGGTATTATGATCCTTCTTTGACAGACTGAGGAAAACAAGAACCAGAGATTTTAGAAGTCCTTGCCTCCAAGTTTTCAGACTTCTGCTTTCAGTGTCCTTTCAATTCAACTGATTTCAATAAACATTTATTAAGTGCCTATTGCATTCAAGACATTGTGTCAGGTGGTATGCTTTCTATTATGCCAGCTGATGATGTAATCAAATCTTTTTTAAAAGGCAGTGAGCTTTAAATGTTTAGAGGAAATGTGACTTTCTGATAAAAGAATGAAAATAAGAAACACCTTTGGTATAATAGAAAAAGTGCTGGCTTTGAAAGCCAAAGCTGTTCACTCATTTCAGTCATGTCCAATTCTTCATGATCCCATCTGGGGTTTTCTTAGCAAAGATTTGGACTGGTTTGCCATTTCCTTCTCCAACTCATTTTACAAGATGAGCAAATTGAGGTAAACAGGATTAAGTGACTTGCCGAGGGTCACACAGTTAGTGTCCAAGGCCAAGTTTGAACTCAGGAAGATCTTGTGAAGAATGTATTTTGTAAAACCTTAGAGCAGTATATAAGTGACAGTTGTACAGTTATTAGAGATGAACAAGCTAATCCATATGGATAGATGGTGGTGGGAGACAAACACAAAAGGAAGGGGAAGATAATTTTCCGTGGCACAACTCCAAAAGCTGATCCAGGGAGGTCATCTCTCAGGGGAGCCTGGACCCAGGATAAATGCCTTTCCTCCTCCTCTAAGCTGCAATCCAGCAGAGAGAGTTTCTCCTTGAATAGATCATGGACAAGAAAGGTATCTTGGTAGATCATAGCGTTTCCTTGGGAAGCAGTACCTTTTATAATGGTCAGATTAGTGTTAAGGAATAATGATGGTCACTTGAATGAAAAATGAACAAAATTCAGGTAATTTCAAAATTTCCAGATCCTAATCTATTATTTACCAATAGAGAGCAGATTATTTCAGTTTGTTGACTACATTACAATTGTGGGGCATAGGCTATGGGCTCACCTCCTAATTCTCACTTTATTGGCTATTCCCTTCTGGGAATAGCCCTTTCTGGGTTATGAGGGTAACACTGAAGAGGATGAGATCATTCAAATACTATTGCTCTCAAGCCTCCATCTGATGGGCTCCCCCAATATCATTCGCTCAAGTTAATATCTTCCCAATATCATCTGACCAGATACCCCCTTATTATAAAATAACTATTTAACCTCAATTAGCTTTTTACAAAGGATTATTTACCAAAAAGATGGAAAAGGACCAAAACGCAACTGCCTCTGCTCCAGCTGTGAGCACATTCTTTTCTACTACCTTAGCGTCTAGGTAGAACACCTTCAAATTTAAAAGTGGTTGCTATAAACATTCTTCGTAAGTTCACTTCTGGTGTGGCATAGCTGATGGATGAGTTGTTTCCTTGATTGCAAAATATGGCTCTTAAGCCACTTCACTGTTGGGTTCACTGTTCTGCTTCCTAGTCTTGTCACTAGATTCTTTGCTGGGCTCAGCTGTCTCTAGCTCCTCGCAGACTCTGCTGTGAATTCCAGTTCTCTCCAGGTCTCTGATAGCTCAAAACTCACAAAGTCATCACTGGGTCTGTCCATCACTAGTGCTCATTCACCTAATATCAGGAATGAACAAAGGCAATAGACATGAAACAGAGGCATTATGTATTCATTGATACATAGTGGTCTGGGCAGCAAGAAGCTTGTAGCATTTCTTCTACCTCCTCACTCAAAGCCTGACAGGGAATAATATTTCATCTGTTTTAGCCTTTTGTGTGAACACTCAGTTCAAGCTCAGGGGCCAATTACAGGGCTTTCTATCACAATAAAATAACTTGACAGCAATAAGTCACAGGACACCTGTTCATACTTTTTGTTGAGGAGGGAAAGGGCTCCTGCATCACGCATTTGTGAAAGCAGGCTCATAAAGCCTCATGTGGATATACAGCAGGTAAAGCATATTGTGAATGCTCTAAAGGCTGGGCCTCATTGATCAGTCCATAATTTGTTGTTATTGTTCAGTTGTTTTTCAATCACGTCTAACTCTTCATGACCCCATTTGGAGTTTTCTTGGCAAAGATACTGGTGTAGTTTGCCATTTCCTTCTCCAGCTTTTTTTTTTACAGATGAGGAAATCGAGGCAAACAAGGTTAAGTAACTTGCTCAGGGTCAGAAAGCTAGTAAATGTCTGAGGCTAGATTTGAACTCAGAAAATGAGTCTTCCTGACTCCTAGTCCAGTGTTCTATCCACTGTACCACCTACCTGTCCATAACACTATATAGCAGATACAATATTATGTAATCAATGTAGTAAAATTGTAGGACTTAGAGCTACAATGATCAAATTAGATTATAATTGTAAAGCACTTTGTAAACCTTTAATTGCTAGATTAATGCTAGCTATTATAATACCAATATAATATAATAACAATATTATTATTAATACTATTTTGTGGGTGAAGAACTGAGGCCAAGAGAGATTAAATGACTTGTCCAAGGTCTCTGATTCCAGATCTAGTGTTTTTTTCCCATGATGCCAATCTCTCTCTCCACTTTAATACACCTTTGATTAATGCTAGATCCTGTCATATTTCTGTTTTGAATCTGAAGACATGTTTCCCTCCAGCCCTCTACTTCCTTCAGATAATGTCTCACTGTGGCTCCAGAACTGTAATTTCTATATTTGGATATGGTAGTATATTATACCTTGTGAGACAGCCTGGCATAGTGCAGAGAACCATTAGTCCCTGAGGCAGGATAAGCTTAGTTCAAGTTTGGTCTCTGATACGTACTAGCTGTATGATCAAGGGCAAGTCACTTGACATCTCATTGTTCTCATTGTCCAACTTTCTTAGACTGTAAGTTGCTTATCTGGATTGGTAGTGGGAGTTTATTCATTGCAATCCCCTTTGCCAATTCACAGATTCGGAAAAATAATTTTTAAAAAATTTCAATAGGTTATGTGATGTCCCCTGTCTTTAAAAAAATCTACAACAGAGAAATAAAATAGATCTCAGGAAGAACATGAGATGTTTTAATGTGAGTGTGCCTATTAGCATGAATGATAAAATATAGCAGCTAAGATGGTTAATGGTCATTGCCAACATTTCAGAGTTCTGATATTGTGAGTACCACTGTTATAGATGTCATTTTTCCTTTTAAAATCTAATTATAATCTGTTTACATTGAAACAGAAGACGATAAATTAACATGTCCCTTTTATCCTGATACAGGGATAGGTACATCATTTTTTGGGGAGAGGGCACAGTGGATAGAGTGCTGGGCCCGGAGTCAGGAAGACCTCAGTTCAAATCCAGCCTTAGACATTTACCAGCTCTGTGACCCCGGGAAAGTCATTTAACCCTGTTTGCCTCAGTTTCTTCATCTGTGAAATGAGCTGGAGAAGGAAATGGCAAATCACTCCAGTATTTTTGCCAAGAAAACTTCAAATGGGCTCATGAAGATTCCAACTGAAATGACGGAACAACAACAAAGCTACACGAGGGAGGTATAAAGTGTTGTTTTTGGGAGTAGGGACCTAGAAGAAGAAGCAGGGGCAGCAAGGGAGAGACAATGGGGCAGCAGCTGGCTCCCAGACCGAGGGCAAGAGCTGATATATACAAACCACGGTGGCATCTGCCACCCCAAATTTGAGCAACACCCCTAAATCAGGTCAGAGATGCAACCAAAGATATTGCTAGGGCATCAGATGCAATGATCTTTAAGCTATAGGAGGGGGAGGAAGGGTGGTGGAGTCTACCACGGTCCTGCAAGAGGCCACCCTGTGATCTTGGCATAGGTAGGTAATACCAAACTCTCTTTACTCCTCCCAGTTCCATGGGTGGGATGCCGTCATCTATCATCACTCTGTTAATCAGGACAGCTGGGCTATGGGAAAGCCACAGGCTTTATAGGGAGGGGCAAGGTCTCTGGTGGGGCATCTGATTGACTTTCCTCCTCTAATGCTACAGGTAGGCACCAATTAGCAAGGTTGCATGGTTCATGAAGTTTCTATCTAGCATGGCAAAAGGTAGTGGGCATAGAAGATTCCAGAAAAGGGAGGAGGTGCCAGGCATCGGGAATGGGATGAATCCAGAACAGTCTGTTGAAAGAAGACTGAACGTCACCCTTCCATGTTTTACCACTTGTAAAAAGCAAAATTTGTAAACAAACCGGTTTTTTCTTCTCTATCCAAGCTCATTTCAATGTCTTGGGTTTAGAAGCAGACATAAATGTTACTGGTAGTTTAATTTTGTCAGAACAAGATTAACTGGCCAGACACGAATTGAGTAGCTTTTAGGATGAATCTCACATATTATTCAGTGAAGCTCACATCATATATTACATAATGGGATTTTTAGTATGGTGCCTTACAGGAAGTCTCATGGATCCTTTCACATTTCCCACCCAATTTTCTCCCTACCTTTTTGGATAGAGTGTTGTACCTGCTTCCTCTTCAAAACAAAGCAACTGCTAGAGCCTCTATCAGGAAAAAAAAATTAATTTCCTTCTTTGCATGTAAAATATAAAGTTATTACTGGGAAAAAATGGTATGTGCTGGTCACTTCCCTTATCAAACCAGATTTTATGTAAAGGCACTGGGTTCAAGTTCCAATACCAGATACTTAATAGCTGTTTGACCCTGAGAAAATCAATTAACCTGTTTGGGCCTCACTTTCCTCATTTGTAAAGGTGTCACAGTGGATCTAGTATAGAACTTAGATACAGGAAGACCCAAATTTAAATCTTGCATCAGATACTCCCTTCCTTTATGACTCTAGTTAGGTTATTTAACCTCTTTCTGTCTCAGTTTCTTCATCCGTAAAATGGGGATAGCATCTATTTCCCAGGGTTGTTGTGATGATCAAATAAGATATAACTAGCTATTATGAAGGAGGTTGGACTTGATGGTCTGTGAGGTATCTTCCAGCTCTTAATTTTTGATCCTATGACCCATTCTTCCATTCCCTGACTTGACTATGGGGTTTTCAAATAAAGATTGTACAGTCACTCCATCTGCAACTTAAAGAATTCTTCTTTAAGAAAGTAGATCTCTTTCGAGCAATATCCTCTATTACTCTTTGCTGTTGCCCATTTGTTCACATTCTTAACTGATGCAGGGACCCAGATTATTTTCAGTGGGTCTTGCATTCACCAGTGTAGTTTAGCCAAGTTCTACTCTGTGTGTCTAGACAGATTTGAGTAATACTGTAGATCTCACTGGGTTAGCTGGGTGTATTTGGTTACTTTCAGCCTGCTTCCTTATCTTTGGGTCATGTTCTCTGGTTCTCCAACTCCTTGTGAATGTACAGTGTTTCTTGTTGCACTTTATTTTTTTTTTTAAAAAGCTGTCTTTGTAATTCAATAGCCTTGTCAAAGTGTTGAAAATGTTTCCTCTGTCCTGTTACAAATGATTATTCTTTTCCTGGTGTTCAGGAGAGATGAATGTAGCAGGACTTTGGGACAAATGTTCCAGTGTCCCAGCTGATAGGACAAGAGAAACTTTAGAGATATCAGAAAAGAGGCTACAAAATGCAGAAATGGTCAATGCTTGTTCATTTCTTCCCAAAACCCACTAGGGGCAAAGCAGTGTGCTAGATGCTGAGGGATTTACAGACATAAATAAGACAAATTTACAATCTAGTAGAGGAGCTAATATGCTATGGGAAAAGTATATTGTAATATATTAATAATTGTATATAAAACACAAGCATATTATGATATACTATATATAAAAAGTTAAAATTTTTAAAAATAGAACATAAGTACATGAGAGAAGTGCAAACAAAACATTATGAAGAGTCCTAAGTCTGTGTGTATGTGTGTTGCTGTTGTTGCTCTTCCGTTGTATCCTACCCTTTGAGGCTCTGTGAACCATGCTGTCCATGGGGTTTTCTTGGCAAAGATACTGGAGTGGTTTGCCATTTCCTTTTCCAGCTCATTTTACAGATGAGGAACTGAAGCAAACAGGGTCACATAGCTAGTAAGTGTCTGAGCCTGGATCTGAACTCAGGTCTTCTTAACTGGTGTGTGTGTGTGTGTGTGTGTGTGTGTGTGTGTGTGTGTGTGTGCTTAGCAGTATTATACATCCAATGAATTGATCCCTGATTGTTTCTGCCAATAACCACATTATATCTGGCTCTTTCCTGAAAACTCACTAGAATACTTTTGGGCACCCAACTGAAGAGGGACACAAGAATTTGGAGAGAGTTCAGCAAAAAGTAGCAAAAATAGGACCAGCTAGGTGGCACAGTGGATAGAGCACCAGCCCTGGAGTCAGGAGGAGGAGTTCAAATCCAGTTTCAGATACTCACTAGTAGCTGTGTGACCCTGGGCAAGTCACTTAACCCTGATTGGCCCCCCCTTCCCCCCAAAAAATTTAAAATGATTAAGGGGCTAGCAATAAGAGCCTGTTGGGAAAGGTTAAAGAATTTGAGATTACTTAGTGTGGAAAGAGAAGCCTGAAAGGTAACCAGCAATTTAAGAACGTACTTGAATATTAATACGAAAGTATTTTGCATAGAGGGCAGGTAAACTGCCATTCTACTAAAGTCAGAACCAAATATGAACCCCTTTGTTACTTGTTTGACTAGGGTGGAGGTTGCTTGTCACTGAC